TCCAGGCATGGCTTTGGGCTTGGGGGAGGATTTGGAGTCTCACAACCTATACACCTTCGGCCCGAGGCCTCGGCGGATTAACCTCACAGGATCTCATATGGATCTGTCTTCTATTGTCTTCACGCACACAAGGCCCAGTCTCACAAATCTGCAGAGTTGGCGCTGTCTGTCAGCCATTCGATGACAGAGATTCTGGGCTGCACGAGTGGATGATTGAAGTCAACTGATTGTGTGATTGACGTCGTGCTGTTGTAGCTGCAGCACAATCAGGCTGTTGGGGCAGCTACTGCGCGAGTATCAAAAGGACGTTGAACGCCGAGGCATCCCCAAGTGTCAGCTTATGTCAAAGATATCAAAAATCTCAGCTCCCCAAAAAAGGGTAGCACGGTAGCTCGGGAAACACCCAAAGGTCGCCCAGAAACATGCAATGTACGAGGGCGATGGAAGGGCTCGGCATGGCTCGGCATAGCATCTTCAACAACATTGCCATGTGGGAGTTGCCACGTGATTAAATTGTGCTATATTGTGCTCAAGCTTTTACTAGGGGTCGTGATCGTCTGGCAGCTCTCTTCGCTCTTCGGGTTTTGTTTTGTCCGGTGCTGTGGGCGACGTCGCAGCAGAAGAGAACAGGACCACAATCAGTAGTGAGGAGTTCGACATTTTCTTTCTTTGTCTCTGAAGAAGTTTGCCAACCGACTGCAAGAACAAACAACTTCCCAAACTGCAGAGCTTCCCTGAGACGTGAAAAAACATGCAATCACAATGCCACAACCAGGGCTGCCGGCCCGGAAGTCTGGGTCATCTGGGTATGATCCTTGTGGACCGTAATTTAGTTTCCGTTTTGAAATGGGCGACAGGTCAAGCTTCGGGCAAGGACGTCACTGGATTGGTGGGCCCAAGCCATAGCGGAGTGCGTTTTCTCTCATGTCCTGGAGTCCTCACAAGAGCAGGGTGCAGATGATCGGCAGATGATCGGCATGTGTCATTGCAAGCAGGCTGTGGGAGCGAGTGGGACTAGGCTTTGGCATCAAAACGCAGAAGCAAACTTCGGCCTCTGACTTTCCTTTTTAATTCCCCACATCTTTGTGTGGGGTTCTTACTTTTGGGGCTGTCCCGCCGCCGCCTCCTCCGCGTCCTCCTCCCGCCTCCTCCTCCTCCTACTCCACACACCATTCACTGATTCATCACACGCTTTACGCATGCTTTTACTCCACACTGACACCACACCATCTAAGTCATCACACGCTTTACACACACACACACACACCATTGACTGACACCATGCACTAACTCGCCACACACTATCTAACCACACCATCTAACTCATCACACGCTTTGCTCCACACACCATTCACTCTATCTAACGACACCATCCAACTCATCACACGCTCTTCTCCACACACCATTTACTGACACCATTCACGAAGTCACGCTCCATTCTCTGACGCGCGCGCGCGCGCGTGCGGGCGCGCGTGCGCGCGCGACCACACCATCCAACTCATCACACGCTTTACTCCACGCACCATTCACTGACACCATTCACGAAGTCACGCACCATTCACTGACACGCGAGCGCGCGCTTGGGGGGCTCGCTTCGCGTTGGCAGGCGCGACACAGGCAACGCGACACAGGTGTCGTTTGTGCTGGCAGGCGCAGCAGTTAGGGGCCCTGGACCAGTTTCGCGCGCACTCCCGGGGGCTCGCTTCGTGTTGGCAGGCGCGACGCAGGTGTCGTTTGTGCTGGCAGGCGCAGCATTTAGGGGTCCTGGACCGGTGCCGCGCGCGCTCCCGGGGGCTCGCTTCGCGTTGGCAGGCGCAACACAGGTGTCGCTTGTGCTGGCAGGCGCAGCCTTTTAGGGGCCCCGGACCGGTGGCGCGTGCGCTCCCGTTGGCAGGCGACACAGGTGTCCTTTGTGCTGGCAAGCGCAGCATTTAGGGGCCCTGGGCCGGTGCCGCGCCGTTAATTGTGTTGGCACGCGCAGCATTTAGGGACCGGTGCTGCGCGTGCTCCGGACGGGCTGGCTTCGCGTTGGCCGGCGAGGGTGTCGTCTGTGCTGGCAGGCGCAGCATGTTGGGGCCCCGGACCGGTGCCGCGCGCGCTTCCGGGGGCTCGCTTCGCGTTGTTGGGCGCGACACAGGTGTCGTTTGTGCTGGCAGGCGCGAATTTTCAAGGGCCCTGGACGGGTGCCGCGCGCTTTCCCGGGGGCTCGACACAGGTGTCGTTTGTGCTGGTGGGGCCCCGGACCGGTGCCGCACGAGCTCTCGGGGGCTCGCTTCGCATTGGCAGGCGCGACACAGGTGTCATTTGTGCTGGCAGGCGCAGCATTTTGTGGCCCCGGACCGGTGCGGCAAAGGTTGACCCTGCTAGTAAGGAAAAGCTTCCACGTCTTCGAGTTGAAGTACAGTTTCCAGAATCGCGACTACACGTTCTCCAGAAGCGGGCGCGGCGCCGGTCCGGGGCCCCTAAATGCTGCGCCTGCCGGCAAAAGACACCTGTGTCGCGCCTGCCAACGCGAAGCAAGCCCCGGGAGCGCGCGCAGCACCGGTCTGGGGCCCCTAAATGCTGCGCCTGCCACTACAAACGACACCTGTGTCGTACCTGCCAACACGAAGCGAGCCCCCAGGAGCGCGAACAGCGCCGGTCCGGGGCCCCTTAAAGGCTGCGCCTGCCAGCGCAAACGACACCTGTGTCGCGCCTGCCAACGCGAAGCGAGCCCCCGGAAGCGCGCGCGGCACCAGTCCGGGGCCCCTAAATGCTGCGCCTGCCAGTACCAACGACACCTGCGTACCTGCCAACGCGAAGCGAGCCCCCGGGAGCGCGCGCAGCACAAACGACACCTGTGTCGCGCCTGCCAACGTCAAGCGAGGCCCCGGCAAGCGCGCGCAGAGTTCAAGTTTTGCCACGACACGCTGTGCGACCCATATTAGGAAGCCGGCTCAAGGAGAAACATGCGCACGACTTCGCGAAAAAACTTACGGTTGTGCTTGCTGCTTGACTTTGCATACACATCGCGCACCTTGTAGATGAGACTCAGACTCGGCTTCAAACTTCCACTTTTGCCTGCGATACGTGTAACGTGACAGGTCTCCCCAGCTCGCTGACGACATGGTGGATTTCTGCCGTGACGGCGTCACAGGTCCAACTGTGACCGATAGCGAGCGGAGACATAAGTATCGCAACATGCTGTAACCTGAAGCATTGAAATTTCGGGCAGCTATTGCGCAGCTTGGGATTCTCTTGCAGCCAACTAGCGCTGATCGCACCCTGCCTGTCACTGCAGGTGAAAAAGATGTCGCTGAAAATCCGCTTGCAGGATGACAAGCGAGCCCGAAACTCTTCAGTCCTCTCAAGCCCGAAGCTGTCGCCCTGAATCCCACACCTGCACGCTACTAAATAGCGGCGAGGGACGCAAGTCACTCACGCATGCTCTCACTCACTCGTATTCACTCATGTACTCTTTGCGAACAGAAATTTGCCGTGTTTTCACCTGAGCAAATTACAGCGAGTCTGCGATCGGATCTCAAAGGCGTACCTTGCGTTTTTGTGGGGACGTCTAGTCCATCCTTTTCGTCTCCTTGTGTCACGGTGCTCGTGGCGTGGCTGCGCCCGTGAGCTTGTGATTGTAGCATAAGAACCAACAGGGTTTTTTTTGGATCACTGTGGCTCTTGCTTGACTCGCATCACTGAGGTCGATTGCCCGAGCCGAGGGCCCTGGCTTTGGCTGCAGCGTGAGCCCCGGAACCAGATGTACTGGCACGGAAGCGAATCCAAAACCATTCCCCTTTCCAAAAACAGAGCGATCTCAAGGGCAAACTAGGTCACTGGCGGGAAGACGTACGCGGTGTTTAGATGGTATGTACGTGTCCAAGATGGCTTGCATTTCATGAAGGTCCTTGCTAGACTCCTAGACAAGCCGGCAACAGGAGGCCCACGAACAGGCATCCTCACGCCAGAGAAAGCTTAGCATGCGCAGGAGAATGTAGGAGAACACGCGGCATCGTTCATCGACCGCCCGGCCCCTCCCGAAACCCCGAGCACGGAGCGTGTACGGTTACATAATGCCTTCAACGACAGGGTCAGTCGTTGATAAATTAATAGCCATCGTGTTTGTAGTAGTCGTCGCCGCAACGAGGTTTATGAAACACTGCGCATGTCTGTGCTGCATTGTTTCGAACGCTTCAGTCGGATTCTTGGGTGCACTGAGGCAGCGGTGGCACAACTGGGTCGTGCCGGTCAAGAGGACGAAGAGCTATTGCATATGCTGGGCTCTGCTGTGACAGGCCTTTGCCCAAGAGAAAGCTATGGATGTGGCACCTTACGCTTCGTCCCGGCTCGGCAGGTCCAAAAACTTCGGCAGCTTTGCTTTCGCTGGCTTCTGAGGATGAACTCCGTGACCTGAAGCGCCCTTGGGACCAAATGTTGGGGTTGGCCAAAAAGGTAAGAATGGCTTCGGTCAAATTCGAGTTGTTCATCTTCAGGGCCCGGGAAATGTCAAAAGATGTCAAAGCAGGTTTCTAAAACAAGCACGTGAATGTACGACACCCTGCTTATCTTGTTGTCGGTGTTGTGATCATGCGAGAGAACCTCTTCGATCCTTGTATTTGACATCCTGTCAGCGAGCGGTCTCGTCGAAGAGTCCTGAGGAGCATTTCAGCTGAGCGGCAGTGTTGCAGCCACCGGCACACAGGAGGCCCCAGCAACCACTGTCGATCCTCGCGTCTGATGCCACCCTTTCTGTTTGCCCAGGCAATCGATTTGGAAATGCAGCAGCGTGGCTTGGGAGCCTGAAAAATGCCCGCTCCATTCTAAAATCCCAGAACTTTCACATACGACTACAATATAGACAACATACCATACCGGACCATACCATACTGTACTACACTATATACGATATTGCGCATGACACAGTTTCTAGATTCCACTGCAGCACATGTCCATGAGGCACGGGCAGTTCTGCATGGAGCCCCTATCGAAGAGGCAAGCAATGAATTACTGGTCAGGCTGGCACCGCCAACTTCCACCTGCTCACAGCGGTCCGATGCTTTTTGTTCAGGCTTTGGCATCTAAGTAATGTGCCGTCGTAGAGTCACAAGCAGGCTTATGTAAAATGTTCATCGATTTCTGGGAAAAGCGGTTGCGAGCAAATCTGGCCTTTTCAGCCTCCAAACTGAATGTGCTCCGAGGTCTTAGCAAAGGACGTTCATCGAGTTTCAGTCTCATTGCCCAAGAAAAGGGCTGGGTGCTTAGCTTCTGTAAAGGCTGTAGAGTTACTGTAGAGATGGTGGCATGCCCATTGAAATCCGAAAAGAGCCATCGCGGCTCATGACGTTTTGAAGTTTGTAAGCGAAGTCCGACGTCGCATGAGTTCCAGGTCATACAACATCTTAATGATTTCAAGCCTGTGCTGACGAGAACTAATGAGGCAACAACGACAAACTACGACAAGGCCTTGGTCCGTTTTTTTGAGCAGGCGCGCACTTGGTCTGACACATTCAACGTGAGACACAATGCACATGAAACTGCTGAATTCTGAGCGAACAGCATTGAGCCAGCCGGCAGATTAAGCTCAATTTCAATTTCATCCAAGTTCTTTTCGTGCCAGGTGTATCAAGGCATCAAAGACCACATCAACCTGGATTTGGTGAAGTGCGTTCTCATGGCCGGTCCAGGGTTTGTAAAGGACTGCAGACGTGCTTTGGGCCCCTGGATGCAATGGTTCCGCTCTTTGTGGCCGTCAGCTGAAGGTAAACGCTACAGCCGGCGAAATTCAAGTGCAGTCGAAATAATAATGCCGAAGAAATGTTGTGCAGGACGACTTTCTGGCGTGGATGCTGCAAAAAGCAACCCAATCGGGGCACGGAACTGAGAACACCTCTACAACCCCTAGAACTGGAAGTCACAATGGTGATTTTGCAGCGCCATGCAGTGATATGCAGTGCAGCTCTCTAACATTTGCAGAATTTTGCAGACTGCAGAGTTGCTGGGATGTTGCTGAGCTGTCTCGACACAGCTGACTTGAGGTGCCCTTGCATTTGCTTTGCCATCCTTTGCCAAAAAGGGGTCGTACCTGGGTCGTGGAATGCGTGAAGGTCGAATGCCGCATTCATTCCATTCGGCATCTCATATGCCCTACCACCACCTTCAACTACTGTGCCGCGCGTCCCAGCAGCTTCGCATTGTGCTGCACACTTTCCCGCACAGAGGCTTATCCTCTCCATGGGTCTTTCCTTCGCACTGGTCCGCTGGTTAAAACATCCAAGACAATGGCGGCGAGAACGAAACGGTCAGCTCGAAATTGAGTTACGAATGTCGCCATGCCCACACGAATCTGCGCAAGGGACCTCAGCATAGCCCTTCCTTCGATGGCAGATATTTTGGCAAGCTTCCAGTTTTCTCTCGTTTCCTCGCTGATGAGCGATGCCTGGCAAAATGCGCCAATTTGTTTCAAATTGTGTCTTGGGCTGTTTTTGCCATGCCACGCAAGACGAGGAAGGCAACAAAGAAAGAGTCAAATATGCAGAAGTGGTACTTGCATTTTCTCCCTATATCTGTAAATATCTGTATATATGTATATAGATCATACATGTACATTGCATACAAGTATACACTTAGCTAGATATATGCACTTGCCCATGCGCCAGGGATACGCAGCTGCTGCAGAAGAAGAGCAGCTTCGTTTGCGTCCACGCATCTTGTGTGCCGCTGGGGCAGCATTCCAGTGGCTTTGCTGTAGCACTGGCCCAGTGTAACTGCCAGAGGCGAGGTTGCCCAGGAAGCACATGTCGAACCTTGCTGCTCAAAGTCTTCGAACTTATACGAGGTTGCAACGAACAAAGCATGCGACACTGAGAGCAGCTACCGACTGGTAGCATGGATGATGACTTATCGAAATATTCAGTGTGTCTCGTCCATCCTTATGAGGCATAAGCAAGCACTGAAGGAGTTGCTCGCGGACGAGCAGGCGGGCGGGCATACCACAATGCATGAAGAAACATGCAGAGGCGATGGCTGCTCCACATAGGCCAGGAAAGACAGCATGGGCTTGTGCATCCTCTCCCCAGTGCACTGCTTTCTGTTGAAAAGAGCCGCCAAGCGGGAGCCTTTCCTTGGCACAGAGGTCCAGAAGAGCATCGCCAACACGAAAGCCGCGGCTCACTTGAAGGTGCCAATGAGATACCGTCGGCATTGCAAAGGGGGGGGGGGGCTCAATCTGTGCAACATCGGACAGTGCAAGAGAGACGCGTTGGAACTGTGGCGAGACGCGAGTTTAGGGCTGAATTCGGGCTTTGGGGTCGAGTTTTTGGCCCCAAGCCTACGGCAAAGAGGGGTCCCCCAGATCCCAGCAGCTCCGGCAAGAGCAGTGACGCGTGCACAAGAGCTGTGAGCTGTGGCCAGTTGTAGATTGAAGATGGCATCTCTTCTTGCAAACGCAACAGCCGTGAACGATCTTGAACGTATGGATGCACGAGGCCCTCGAGGAGTTTTACGTCATGGTACAGAAGGAGTGCAGATCTTGGTGAAGTTGTAACCGGTGCACAGTATGAGAAATGTGACGCTTATTGAGTTGAAGCAATGTTGAAGCAAGGCCCGATCGAGTTTGCTACGGGCCGAAGCAGGTGGGAAGTATGACGTGGTATAGCAGTGTGAACGCACACGTTTCAGCTATTGCAAGGTATTGCGTAACATTTTTCAAGAACTCAATTGTCGATAAACACCATGTGCAGCCTTCGGCTGAAGGTACATGAAGCCATCGAGAAGTGCGCAGTGCAGACATTGATGGTGTCTCGGTTACTGAATCTCTCACTAGGATTGAAACCGACTTGGGGGTGCCTTTCACTAGGGTTGCAACCGATTTTGAGCCTGTTCGGCGGAGGGTTCAAACCGCTTGTAGGCCTGTTCGGCGGTGCCTCTCACGTTGAAACTGGTGCCTCGGGCCTGTTCGAAGGTGCCTTTGATTTCGCTAGGCCGAAACCATTTTCATGCCCCGGCCCTTCTCGCTGAAGTTGAAGCCGGGTTTTAGCCTGTTGCCTGCACTGGTTTGCCGCCGAAAGGAATGAAGCTGTGATCAAATGCCACCCAATGTCCTAGGAATAATTGGGATAAACAGGAATTGAAATCGTTCATTCGTGGTTCATGACTGCCCTTGTCCTCGTTCTCGCTGTTCTTGTTTCCGTTGTCTCGAGGATGCGCATGGATTGGGGCGTGGTTCCGGGGATCAGGGCTAAAAGTGCCGAATCAGTTTATTCAGTGAATTTTCCTTGAGTTTGCAAACAGCGACAGAACTGCTAGAAGAAATTAGAAGATGCTCGATCCCAGCCTTATTCCCCGGAAAAATAAGTTGAAATTGAAGCCCTCAACACGAAGAAAGTCATCAACGCCTAAACCAGCGGCTGTCCCGGAAAAAGGGTGCAGCACTGCAACACCCTTCCCCCACAATATTAATAATAGTTGAGGAACTTTGGCCTTCCCACATTCGGCCACGAACTGGGTTGGTAGCAAGTGTCCATCTGTCTCTCAATTGCGGGTCAGTACCTCAGTGACATGACACTGTCTATTCTACCCTAACGCGCTTTTAGTCGCTTCTTGTGTGGCACAAGCAGACATTGTTTCAAATCCGAAGCCGGCACAGCCTGTGCAGAGATGGGGAGACTGGACAGAGATCGAGCCTGTATCTTCCTGCAAACAATTCACGACCAGTGCCCTCGTAGGACTTTCTTTCGCAACAGCAATAGCAAGGCTTTCTTCAGTTCTATGCAAGGAGGCAGAGAGAGAATAATTGAAATAAAAAACACATATCCATAGAAGGTGCTCACAGCAATCCTCCTCTATTTGCTCTCTTTGTCACTGGGGAGCTGCAGGTGGTGGACTCCTTGTTCCGCAATGCGAACGTGAAGCTGCGAAGACAGTGCGCGTAGACGCGAGGAGTGGGCGTTCCATGGTTTTCCTGACAAGATGGTCATGGCTTCAGCTAGCGATTGAGCAGGGTGTTGGCTTCACAGAGTGTGGTGATGTGTGGTGTGAGACTGCTTCTTGCCTCTTCTGTCTCCTCAGCATGATTCATCCTTGTAGAGGTAGAGCGGCCTGTCCGTCCACCATATCCTTCCTAGGTACGTCGACATGGTTGAGACTGCAAGAGACCAGGCTGCAAAGTTCTTGCGCGGGATGAGAATGATGAGAAGGTTTGCAGCAAAGAACGCGTGCCTTTCTGGTTTGCAACGAACTAGCGAGTCGAAACACATGTTGTAATTTGGCCAATCACGCTTGAATCCCTGGCCTGGCCAGAATTCACCTGAAGGGCATGAGACCATGCACTGTCGCCTTTAATGGGCACGTTACGTGCCACAGCTTGGCCGTTCCGTCATTCACCAGCACTGAGGTAGCATCAGGCAGGCATCGTAGGATCGAAAAAGGCTGAGCGAACCAAGTGTATTAAAGTGCAATGTTGTCTGGGAAGGGCGCCAGCTGCCAAATCTTCTCGTCGCAGCACGTCAGTGGCGAGCAGCTTCAGGCCAGAGAACACAAAACAAAAAAATAAGAACCACACGAGCAGCACGACATCATAAAGAGGACAGCTGTAAGATAAAGCAAGAGACACTAGAGCGCGGAGTTGAAGCTGATGATCGTTGATGGCAAAAGTCTGAGTGGTAGCATAGTGCAAAAGCTGCAAAAGGCCTCGAGTGGTTTCTGCAAAACTGTGCTGTCGACCTCACCAGAAGCACATAGTAGGTGGCGATCGGCGAGGTTACCGGTGCTGTTTGCCCAACATAGAAGAAGGGAGACATCTGATCTCTGACTCCCGAAACGCGCGCCGGAGGCAGTACCAACGCCACCAAAGCCACACCATCAACACCCGCAACTGCAGCAGCACCTGGCTCACAACCTTGGGCTGATATCCCGTGGCCGTGGGTGCCTTCGAGCATTTAGCCCCCAGCCCGGCCTTCAAAGAAGCCTGGAACGGTAAGGAACTCCAACCACAACTTGAGCCCACGAATGTTGTGGCATGTTGCGGCATGTCGCATGGCTTTGCTTGACGAGCACACGGGCATATACTGGCACCCTGCTGCTCAGCAGCTCAGCGGCATCGCGGGCGTCCTACGCTTTCCGCTGCCGGAAATTGGCGACATCGACAGGCAGGCACCGGCATGGAAGTTGACACGATTCGGCATTGAGTCGTGTGTCCTTTTTTCTCGACCATGCGTCGAGGGCGTGTCAACATGAAGTGCAAGCTCGAGCCATGTCAGAGTTGCAGAGTCACTGCCCAGTGACGCCGGACTCAGCGACGCTGGCGGCCCTGAGGAGGAGAAGGAAAAGATGCCGCAGGCGCGAAATGGATTCGAAGATCGTCGAAGTATCTGGAAATCGAAGTTTGAGTTTGCAAATACATGGCGAATGTGCGAGTATGCGAGTCTAGCACAGGTCCGACATGCGGTAGGGAATTCCAAGATATTCCAAGCCTTTTGAATCATTGCGGACGCCACAGCTGGCAAAGCCTGCTGCCTTTCTTCCATTACCACCAAATCTAGTTCAACATGTTCAACTACTCGCTCGCCTTCAGGACGACGACGCCGAAGACTTCATGTAACATGGCTTCGCGGCGGCTTTGCTCGTTCGAAAATAGTCCGAGACGACTGCAGAGTGGCTCTGCATGAGTTGGTTTCTCTGTGTGGCCTCGCCTGCTCTTCTGATCTTATCCCTTCTCTCCTGATCGCAATGTATCCCATAGCGTTTGGCTCGGACGAGAGCACACGGCAAAGGCCATGGCAGTGAGCGGGCCTTGGACAGCGAGGTCACGAGCTTCCTTAGCCTTATCGGCTTCGGCATGCATCTGTAGATATCTGTAGATACCTGTAGTATTCATCCCCCCTTATCTTGAGGAAACAAGGGCATGGGGACGCCATGAAAGTGTAGGGTGGGGGATATCAGGGGATGGACGAATTGTGAAATTCGATAGGGTTCAGATTGAGGGATACTTGGTTTGGTTACCAACGGTAACTGTCAGCCTTACAGCATCTTAAAGTCTTAAAGCCCACGCCAGTGATCACCAGTGTATTCAAGCCTTGAGGCTTGACCCTGGACAATGAAAAGCCTTGCGCGCAGTTTGGCCTTCGGCGCGGAAGTAAAATCTAAGTTTCGTTGTCTTAACTTCGCCCGCCTGAACAAGCATCGGGTTTTAGGCTGCGACGGACCTGGGCTTACCGCGCAACCCGAAACCCCGAACCCTAGCTCTGACAGTCATTAGACCCTGAAGCCCTGAGACCCTACACAGTCGACATGCACACAGCGGTCCGCCGACGGGACCCACAGCACTTGCCATGCAGCCACCTGCGGTCGAGCTGGATCTCGGCCGCCTCGCGCCACGTTTCTTTAGGAAGAGAACGGGGGGGGGGGGGGGGGTGCGCAATGGAAACGCTGCTCCCAGCGATGCATTCTATGACGCCCCAGTTTGTTCCTGATAATGGGCGTGCGCAGTTCCAGAGCTCACCTGTCAATTCTCTGAACGTCGTGGCACGAATCTCAGGCCTCAGCTGCAAAGAAACAGTCTCTGCAGCATGCGGAAAACCTAAAGAGTGGGTTCCGGCTCGGTTGGGGGAGACTCCCGGAGACAAGGACTTCTTTAACCAAACAAAAGGCAAAAGGGATGTGCAGGCCATGAGCAGAGTGTGCTCTCAGCAGCAGAGCTCTCTCGTGGGACGTTCCGCTACTTCGATCCCGAAAAACCCAGCGCAACTCCGACCTGTCACATTCAGTGTTGTTTAGACAGTGTTTAGACAGCATGTCATCGCGATGCAACACCAGCACCGTGTTCCGAATGCGAATTCACTAAGGGTTGTGCCTGGCCAGCCTGCGCAGCTTATCCTTGATGAAGGCGAGGTCGAGGACCCTACTGCAACTACCACGCTCAAAAGGGAGCCCGCGGGAGCGGGCGTGTGACGTGTGTCATGCAGTGGCACTGCTCTAGATGGCTGCGAATGGTGATGGTGGTAGGGTAGAAGCCTGCGCGATTCTTGGTGGACACCAAGCCAACGGCACAACTCGTACTTCAGTTGCAGGTAAGCAAATTTTTGATGTCACAATACGCAACTTTGTGGGCGTCGCAAGGATCCTTTCAAAGATCGGCGACATGGACTGTCGCCAGGAGAGGCCCTGCCCCCGGTTGAAGAGACATAAGAGACACGGAAGAAGAGGAGCGAGCAGCGCGCAGCTTTTCATTTCTGAGCACCGGTATCCCAGAAATCCGCGACGGCATGATAGTAGATGTGAACGTTTGTTGAAATGTCAGCGTCGTACGTCTCTTTTGATGCTTCAAGCCAGGGAATGTCGGTATGAGGAAACCCTGGAGCCTGGAATGCGTAAACCTGGCAAAATCCTGCAGATTAGGGAATGCCGGGGGAGGGAGAAGGAGGGGAGACCCCCCCCCCCTCCAAATTCTGCCATCAACAACCTAGGTGCCAGTGATGACTCTGACCGAGCCTGCTATGCCCGTCACAACCATCGAGGCAGCGAACATCAGCGAACAGATCGGCATGTTTGTCCGTTTGGTTTGGACACAGGTGCCTGCGCATGCAGACAAACGATTCTATGAGGGAGTCTTGGAGCTTCTAGCGGCCGGGTCTTCGGCTGCATCGTGCAAGGACATGGCGTCAGCGATATATTGTCGCTCATCACGCGTTCATCTGCCGCAGTATCAAGTCTGCATGACAAACGCCCTCGCAAAAAGCGCTACGCTTTTTCCAACTCGGCTCAATCCGACGGTTGCTGGCTGACATAAGCCTCACAATGGCTTCGCAGTAGTCGTAGTTTCAGTCTTGGCAGGGCGCATTCCGCCAGCAAGAATATAGCAGTCGCTACAAGCATGGCTACTTTTCAGCTCTAACACCTGCACTGCACCACTGCATGACATTAACTGGCCTCAAGCAAAGCGGCGAGAAAGCGCCTGGATGACTAAGATAATGACGATTCTCCTATTCTTCCCTGCAGTGCACGCCATTGTGTCGGGCGAGGGTGCTAGCCATGGGCGATGGTGGTGCTGCAGTGGGCAAAAGCAAGGACACAACTACACTGAAAGGATATTATGACCGTTCTCCACTCAGCTCTCTCGCAAATTCTGGCCCGAAATAGGACGACGACTTGGAAAACCCCTACGAGTTGCTTCAAGTGGAAGATGATGCTGGGGAGAAAGAAATCAAGGCGGGCCAACATGTTTTGTGTCAGTTCATCACTGTGCACAAATGAAGCTGCATGATATATCATGATATTACAAGGCGTGGTGGCTGTCACTTTCGGATTAAGCTAGAACGCGGGCAAGGTCGCAAGCCTCACCAAAAGGAATCGCCCACTTTGGATGTGTCGGCTGCATTTCAAGCATTCTCACATTTTCGCTTGCAGACTGCCTATCGCAAGATCTCTTTGAAGTGCCATCCAGACAGTGGCTCGGCAGAAAGCTGGTCCTGAGTTGTAACACGTAGCCAAGTCCTGTCGCCAACTGCATCCAACTGCATGTCGCATCCGAGGGCATCCAGATGATCCTGAGGCTCAGAGTTAAAGTCTGGCAGATGGAGTCGAGAATAGTCGAGATATGTCCAGGATAGTACAACTTCGCAGAAGTGGGCGTAAGAGGTTCTTAAGAACTTAAGAGCATATCGGCATGCAGCGTTTGGCTTCGTGCTGCCGCGTCGCTGCTGGAGGCTGCAGAGAAGTTTGATCGGCTGACACGGGCAAAGGACGCTTGACCCGTGACTCATCGTGACTCTCTTTGGGTTTAGGGTTTAGGGCCTTTAGGGTGTAGGGTTCAGGGTTGGCAAGCCTTCCAGGACCTGCTGTTCCTTGGCTGCAGCATTGTGCAAGTATGCAGACCTTACTGCACTACATTGCACTACGCTTGAATCCGTTGAGAGACCGTTTCCGTGGAAAGGTTGGATCCCATCCGCCGATCGGAGCTTGACAGGAGTCAACTGACTTGCAGTTCACTTGCAAACCCGCAATTCGCATAATTCGCAAAAGCTCAGAGCACTTAGCAGCGCACGGCAGCATTGCCCGACAGGAAGCGCAAAGCTGCTCGGGATTTGGAGGTGCTTCGTCTAAATAGGAGAAGCCGCCTAGAAAACAGATCGCACTGAAAAATCGGGCATGCCCGTGCTGTATGTGCTGTGCCAGGCGCGTCATGCACAGGAAGATGCAAAGCGTCGTAAGCTCCGAGAAGACTTGGAAGGCACGAACATGCCATTTCTTGCTCTGCATTCTGCAGGTCCGTGAGGCCAGCATTGTCAAACTCGTCCATCAGAGGTTGCCGAATGGCATATAATCGCATGTTCCATGCATTTCCATGCTTCGTGTGGTAGGCATAGCTCCACAGCCGAAAAAAGGCAACAAGAGTGTCTCGAAGAATGCTATGGGCTACTTGTACATAAAAGGTGCAAGTAATGTGCAGACGGTACGAGAAGCCATAAATCATCAACCGCCATCGCCACGCAATGAGCCTGTGACGTGTGCAGAATGCCGCAGAATGCCCCTCGCCAGGCCGAGAGAATGCTGCCAATGCAAAGACCATGGCTGCGAAGAGAGCCACGCAGGATGCCGAGGTAGATCCTGTCCCCGTCTCGCACAAGCGAGTCACAAGCAACACGTGTCCACAATGAGGTCCACACACTGTAGCTCTTTTCTTGTCTGCCAGCAAATAGGCTCTTGTGAAAAGTGGTAAGCTTCAGCCTTTTCCACTGCACATTCGGCAGTCAAGAAGCCAAGCCACAGCTGCCAAATGCAGGCCAGAAAGAAATTTCTGCAGCAGGAGAGACTGGTAGTCTGTGATTTGCAGAGCTTTGGGCAGCTCCGGTGCACATCCTGCAAGCAGGACATGGCGTCGCGCATCCGTGCGAAAGAGGCTGAGCTGGCAAAGAAGCAGAATGAGGACCCCGAGGTGCCCTGTGTTGCTCCACTGAAACTGTGCTGGAAGAGTTTCTGAATTTTTCTGAGGTCTCCAAAAGCATATCACGTCTGTCTTGTAAATGAAAATCGGGGCACGAAGAGGTCGATTGCGATTACTACTACCAATGACTAGTATGACTGTGCGCGATGAATATTGTATAATATTGCGGTGAAGGTTCAGGCCACGCTGCAGGACACACGCATCTCGGCACAGGCGATTCCAGGTGTAACTATCCGATAGTTTGAACGCTGCCCGTCGGCATGCGCCGCCCGCCTCGGCCCTGCCCAGCTTTGAAGGTGGTGCCTCAAAGCCTGAGGGTGTAAGGTTGATGTTGCCCCTCTCTGGTATGCTGATCTGCATACGGTTGTTTGCTGGGCCGTGGTGTTTCCTGAGCGGACTCGGGCAGGCCCTTTGATCCTGGGTCTTGTGGCCTGGCACGTGTCCACTGCTGCGCATCGTTCCCCCTTGTCCAGGTAGAAAAAAAGGGGATGGGGGGTCGATCATGGTCGATCCACACAGGCATGGATTGTTGGAGAAGGTGCACAGCTGGTGTTTTAGAAGCCCATAGTCGACTCGGGAAGTGGGGCGGGCGCGGGTCAAGCCGAGGTGCCCGATTGCATGTGAATGTCTCGTTTCTCCAATGGAAAACCCGAGAGTTTCTCAAAAAGGGCGGAGCAGCACACAACTACACAACATCACAATTCCCTGGCGGATTTCAGGGACGGGAATCATGAAATCCCATAGGGAACCTCGGACGCCTCACGGTCGAGGCCGAGGCGAAGTCTTTGTTTCGAAACAGGAATAGGAAAAGGAAACCTCCTGCGGTCGATGAAAGAAAAGCGCAGCCAGGCCTCTCCCTCTGCTGACAAGACTCCAAAGACTACAAAGACTCCAAAGGCAGCAAAGGACATGAGAGGCGCAATGTGGCGCAACTGTCCTTCCAGTTTGTGAGTCTCTGCGTTTTGTGCACCATCTCCAGGGAAGAAGCAGAAGGTTGACCGACAGGTGGACGGTTTCCGTCCTGGAGCCAGCTTCGATGACTGGGAGGCATGTGGCTTCTGTTCTTTTCACAAAGGCAGTTGCAAGGTTGAAGGGACCATGAATGTTGGCACTTGCTTGAGGCCGACATGTTGGCTGATCTGCACAATCTAGCCAAACAGAAGGCAGGCAAAGCTGCAGCTTGAGCGCGGCGCTTTGCAGCTCTGTGGCCAACATGGCGCAGAACATCTGAATCGCAGTCGTGCTGGCCAGCTCGATGCGCTTTTGGTGCTACTAGAAGAAACACATCAAACACATGAAGCACATGGGTCGGCAGACCGACTGACAATGGCCCTTACATCTCTTAAAGCCCAGAAGCTTCTGGTGGCCTGCAAACATTGCACATCGTGCTCTAGTGTGTACAGTAGCACAGGCTGCAATGAGGAAATCTGCAAAGCTGAAAATTGTTGGGGGTGCAGCATGTAAGGCTTGAGTCAGAGAGCAGTCTGGCATGATGCAAGAATTTGCACACATGACTCAGAAATGAAAAATGCACACAGCGATGCCCCAGGTCTCCAGCGGGATGATCATCTTCCGCTTCCTGGGTCAGCTGGTCTGGGACAAGGACAGTCCTGCTGAACACTTCGGCAACTTGTCATGTAACATCATGCTACAACAACCAGTCTGTCACGGCCCACTTCTGAGTGTTGTCAGGACTTCTACGTGCAGGGGCAAGAGATCTTTGCAGAGATCTGCGAGGCATCCGAACGCATCAATATCGTTACAGATCACTTCAGTTAGTGTCAAATATTCCAACCTGCATCTTGTGCTCGGCTGCGCAGGTCATAGACTCGAGACCTACATACATTGTCAATGTGGCAAAAGGTGATGTCGCAATCTCAGGTGTGTCGGAATTGGTGTAAGCTTATGCTTGTCTGTGAATGTGTTGTTGAATGGAGCAGCCCTCCACTTGTCTGCTCAAGGTTCGCAGCCTGCCAGTTGCTTTCGCTGCCCTGTCAGATGCGTGGTCCCAAGACTTTCTGCATAGAGTCATGTCAGGGCGGGAGCATGTGACTTGCAAAGCATGTTGCAAAGCATGTTGCAAAGCATGTTGCAGAGCATGTTGCAGAGCATGTTGCAAAGCATGTTCCTCCGTGCTGTTTGCAGGTGTCTTTAGCAGAATCAGATGCAACCTTTGGCTTCCCCGAAGTCCGTGTCGGGGGCATGCCAGCGGTCAGCGCGGCATGTTGAAGAAGTTTTGCATTCGAATGTTTTGTAGCATGCAGGGCCAAGATGACGAAGGCCGACGAGACTAGATGATTAGCTAGCAGGTCTGGCACGAATGGATTCTAGGGTCCTAGAGCTCGGAGAAGGCTGCTCTTTCGTGCCATTCTTCTGTCATCTGTGCTATGGCAGTGCGTGACCGTCGCGATGCGGAAACGCGTCTCTGACGACTATATCAGGCTGCTCCTCCCAGATTGAAGCTGCTGATTGCCAGTGTTTGAGTTCTTTCAAGTTTCGTAGGGCTAGTGAGCAGTATGTAATCGTCCAAATGTCGTTCCATTTCTGTGTCTGTCTCTCCCTCTGCGCTCGCTCTCTCTCTCTCTCCAGCTTTCGCTCTCTCTCTCTCTCTCTCTCTTCCTCTCCCTCCCTCCAGTCTCCCGGCTCCAGCTATCAGAGCCAAGCCGATAAGGATGGCGTAGGTGGTCCTTGGGGGCACTCCGGCAAAGGCCGTCGAACCCCCCCCAACCTTCGTCGAATTCCCCGGCCTTCGTCGAACCCTCGGCCTTCGTCAATCCCGCTTTTTGGCCTTCCAACCCCTTTCTCGAAAGCAAAACAAGGCTCCCGGAACCCCCACGCAGAAAGCATCTGGGTCTTTGGACAGCAGGCCCGAAGGCCGCGAGAGGCACGAGAGAAGCGATGTGTCGATGATGCCATCAGCAGCATCAGCAGACCCCCACGCCCCCCCCACGCGGGCTTGGGTGATGCTCACACTTTGGGGGCGGGCCAAGGGCACTGTGGGTGGGGGTTGGAGGCGCACGCGGAAAACCTCATACAAAAAACATCAAAAAGCACGGTACTTACAGCGTTTTCTGGGTTTTTGACCACTTTGAGCCGAAGCCGCTGATGCTCATGATGCTTCCCGGGTTTGGGCTTCCGGTACCCCCCCAACCTTTAGAAAACATGGCCTCGGCCTGGTCCCTTGATGCCCTTTCGGAGGCCTCCCGAGAAAAACCCACGCGAATTTTATGGGCTAACGCTCCGCCCTGCACCACCGGCGGTGCAGGGGCTCCAGGTAAGCGATGGGCGGGGAAGGTGTGGACTATGGGGGTTGGGTGTGCGCTTTGATTTTTTGTGGGCTTTCGAATACTCCGCAAGCTTCGGCATTGGCGAACACGGTTTTTCACTTACGCCTCCCCCGCAGGGGTCGGCGGATGCTTACATACCACCTCTGCGAGGGGTCTCCTTCGCTGGGTAAAAGAGTTTATGATTTTTTTAATGAATAGATAATAATATATTTAATGGCTACCGCCAGTGCCGCCGACCCCACCCCCCGCCATTTTAGGGTGCCTCAGGGCTTAGGGAGTTTCTTGGGTGGCTTCGGCTTGGGCAGCTTGGGGTAGTTGGAGGATTTGGGCGCCCTTTGCAGGGATGACGCTATGAGGGTTTAGGGTTTAGGGCTAGTTCGCAGCCTTTTGGGAGAGGGGGGGGCCTTCACACTGGTGGCGGGCGGTGCGGATGGCGGCTCGTCAGCGTGGGTGGCTCAGGGGGCGGGTGGCTTGGGGCGGTCTTGGTGGTTCGGGTCATGTGGGTGGTTGGGGTGATGTGGGGTTCGGGTGGTGTGGGTGTTTGGCGGCATGGCTTCGTTCATGTACAGACTGTACAGCCTCAGAGTGTCCTACTGTGCATACCTAGGCTGGGCACTCTGATAGGATTCCTGACCCTTGAGGCGGCTGCGGGCAAGTGAGCGAGGAAAGAAAAATACAAATTTGTTAAGTTTACCTGTAACTCCGTATCAGTTTTGTGGGGCCCCTGCAGGGTCCCAGGAAGGGACCAAGCAGGGCAGCCCCCCCAACTAGAAAAACCTAGATGAATTTAGAATCTGTCCCCATGTGCTTGCATAAAGGCCCACGGGAGGGGGACCCAAGGACCCCCCGGGGCAACCGGCACCCCGAGAACCAACGCGGATCCTGCAAAAACAGGGCGACCGACCCAAGGACCGGCGGAGGGTGGGAGAAGCGGGCGACCGACCCAAAGACCGGCGGAGGAGGAAGTTTTAAAACTTGCGTTTTGCGTTGTTCTATACGTCCTGTTGAGTCGGGCCTTTTTTGCTTTGTTCTAAGCGTCAAAGTGGGCAGATTCCAAATTCCACCGAATCCCGGTGCCCTATGCTCCCTTAGAAGGGCCCCCATGGCTCAAATCCTTCGGCTAATCCAGGGCATTTAGCCTTGCGAGCAGCACAACGGCAAAGTTTGGAT